AAGACTGCGTCATCACTTTTACTCACATCTCAAGCAGAGTATAGCACTTTGTCTGGGTTATTTGGGTTTACCTAGGTATATTTATCACTATGTATACTTGTATTTAAGTGTACCAGTGAGACAGAGATGACAGACAATAGAATGAGGAGAAGATAATTAGATAAAATGGAGGATGTGAATCAGCATCCGACCCCATTGTTTGACAGGACGGAGGGGAAAGAGTTAATGAGCCAATATGTCACTTGACAGCTGCCCGACTACCTTGTAATTTACCCTAGGACAAGGAGAGGAAGAGTAGGGAAGAGGAAGAAGGGAAGAGGAGGAAATGATGCGGCGAAGAGGAAAGTAGCTGGAAGAGAATAAGAGGAAAGGAGGAGGAAGAGGAGGAGGAAGAGAATAGTAGAGGAAGATTAGGTGGAAGAGAGGAAGAGAATAAAGAGGAGAGAGGACGAAGAGTAGGCGGAGAAAGGAAGAAGCAAGGAGAGGAGGAAGAGGAGAGGAGGAGGAAGAGGAAGAGGAGTAGAGGAAAGAAGAGATGAGGAAGAGATAGGGGAAAGAGGTGAAGAGTAGGGGGAAGAAGGAGAAAGGAAAAGAGGTGGAGGAGGGTGGAACACTAGTACAGCACTGGGTAAACTGGTACACTATGACATTCTGTCTGTCTATTGTGTTGTCTGTCAAGCTCCCTGTCTATCTGTCTATCCGTCACCTCTACTCAGAGAGCCACAAGACTGAGTCCATCACTTTACTCACATCTCAAGCAGATTATTAGCACTGTCTGGATTTCTTGGGTTATCCAATGTAATTTATACTTTGTAACTGTAATTATGTGTACCAGTGAGACAGAATAGACAGACAGAAGAGAAGAGAGAGACAGATAGAAAGAATAGAATGAGGAGGAAATATAAAACACCATTGTGTATGACACCATGTATTCAAGAGTTCCACAACTGCAGAACGAATAGGAATATGTTGCATTGACTGTATTTGGTATAATATATTAAAAACAATAATATAATAAAAAATGTTTTGTACTGTTTGTTTTTGTAACCCAAGTTTTGTAAACAATAAAAATAGAAATTGATAATTATGTTTGGTGCTTAATGTGTTGTATACACGAGTGTAATATGTTCCTTTGCACCTTACTTTGGTCTCATACCACATAAGTTATGTGAAAAAATAAAATAGTGAAAAAAACAACAAACCTTCAGAATACATGTAAACTAGAAGTTTTACCGGGTGAGCGGCAGTCGCCGCTTGTTGCCATAGGCGGCCATTTCTGCAAATTTCATGCACCAAACTCGGTAAGTATTGAAGTTAAATTTTTTTGTTTTCCTTATAATGTTTTAAAAAAAAAACTATTTTTATTCATAAAAAAAATAATTTTTTTTTAGAAATTTGGCCGACCCTGAGTACGAGTTGTTTTCCGGAGAGGCCTGTCGACCCTCCAAAGGATTTTTTTTTTTTTTTTTTTTTTTTTTTTTTTTTTTTAAAAATGTTTTTTTAAAGCTACAGTAACAGGAACAATATAAAAGGGACTAAAACATTTGTGGTGAACAAATAAAGTGATGATCAAATAATGGGAGCCTGGGAATATGATTTTAGTAGTACCTTTAAAGGTATCTTTAAAGTTAAATTATAATATAAAATATAATATAAAGGGACTAATATAAGTTGTGGTGAACAATAAAGTGGTAATCAATAAATGAGCATTTGAGTATAATGGAGAATAGTGAACTACTAACTTTAGCACCTGAGAATAGCACTTGATTAATTTTAACAATGCAATATAAGATCTAATGTAGTGATATAAGCTAAAATCAGGACAAAAAAAATATACACATGGACTACAATTAGGTAATGTAAAACAATTTTAAATGGACAATAGTCACTATTGAGAATAATTATTGGTTTAGAGTAAGATTCTGATTGTAATAATAAAAAGAGTAGAGCAGTTTTATTGCACATAAAAATAAAATAAAAATGAGGTTGTTGTTAATTATACTAGCTTAGCAAAAGATTATTTTTGGTACTTGCAAAAAAGTAATTGGATATACACTAATTGCACATACAATAAAAAGTGACTAAAAAAACAAGAAGTGGAAACAAAAATTAAATGGACAGGTAAGAACAATGAATAATGGTAATTGTCTTGGTTATAATATGAAAGTAAGAAGGTATACAGGTACAAAGGGATATTAAAAGGTTGAGTTTGAATATACAAACTTGAAAAATTGGCAACAAAATGTTTATGGGACGTATAAAATAATGTTAATGTACAAAAAGTAAAATTGACTGGTAGTAAATTGGAGTTTAATAAAGATTTTAGTAATTAATAAATGATTACAAAATAAAGTGAAAAAGCAATTTTATTTCATTCCATATTGCACTGGTAGTTATTCTAGAGGTTAAATTCAGTACAAGGGTAATTAAGAGTACTCTATATAGTAAATGTTGGTATAAAAACAGTAAAGGAATAGACAAGTAATGGTTATTAAATTCAAAAATGTTAAGAGAAATTGAAATTAAACGAGTAAGAATGAAATTATTAATTTTAGTAGGTAATATCAATTGATAGTATTTAAAAAAATATGGAGGTATTAATATGGACAAGAAGTCGTCATTCAGCTATGTTTAAGCAAACAATAGTAAATAAGAAATTACATAAGGATACTTAAGCTTACTAGTCCAATCACAAGATTATGATAGTTTGATTAATTTAAATACTAATAGATAGTTAAAATGAAATTTGAACAATAATGGAGCAAAACATACACTACACTACGTAAGGCTTAAGTTGGACATTGTTTAAGTTATTCTCTGTACGATTAGTATTCCCGAAAATCGTGATAGATCAATCTCGTTCGTGATGTTTACAGTTACCTACATTTGTTTCCTGAAACAAGAATTTTTTCCCCATCCCGTTTGAAGCATTGGTGTATTGTGTCATTATTCTCCCGCTTAAGTTTTCTGACTCTATACAGGAGGTTCTGACGTTTTTTAAGTAAGACACTCCGTTTATGTATACCTCTTTCTTACTTTAATAGATGCAATAATTAAGTCCTTTTTTCCTGTCACAAAATCAAAGACTCGTCAATTACAAGATTCTTGAATGGATAAAAGTATATGCTGAACTTTTGCTTGAGATACATAAAAACATTTCTAATCTTGTATAACCTGTCACTTCTGTCAGGCCTGGTTTTGTCAGAGTAAGTGCCAACATAAGTTAACAGTATGTAAAGTAAAAGACACAATGCAACTAAAGTGAACATTTATGTGGCAACGTTTTCGCTCCTCCAAGGAGCTTTATCAAGTAGCCGAAACGTTTGCCACATAATGTCCTACATAGTTGCATTGTGTTCCCTTTTACTTTACATATTGTCGGTAATTCTACCAACTTTATTACAATAAGTAACAGTAAGATAAACCTGTTCACTGGGATGATTTCACTGAAGACCGGGGTAGAAAGTAGCCGATCTGTGGACCAGTATGGCTATTTTATATTATGCTTATAGACATGAGGCAAAACATTATTGTTGCAAAGAAAAGCAAAGCAAATACATTTCTGCTACAGTCACTCTCATTCGCACCTGTGTAGTCCTTGACTGTGGTGATAAACGTATTTGCCATGGTGTACTCAAAATACTTATTACCTTCCCTGACAATAATTTCCATCAATGGCTGGTCAAAGAATAATTCAAAGAATTCCAGTTCATTGGCCGTGGTTCCAAGGGACAAGTGGTGGTGCTAGGGTACAAAATTGGGAATTTTTATTTTTTTTTTGCAGCCAATCCCAGAATACAGTATGCTGTGGGATACTAGACATCATAGGCTGGTTGTGCGGTGTGTGGCTGAGGTGGGCTGGTGGCTGACGCTCCGCTTTGTCCTTGAACTGAGGAGTCAGCAGCGTGGGTCCCAGCCTGGGCTGGCGAGTCACGCATGGCGGTGCCACTACCATCACCACTACCACCATCTACTGATGCCTGTGGTCTATCCATGCCAAGTGTAGCCACATCATCCTCACTATCACTATCTAAACCTGGTGTAGGGCCATGGGATGTACTCCGGGATGTACTCTGTCCCCTGGGCACAGCATAGGGTACACTACCCGAGCGCATGCGGCAGCGTACATATCGATGCTTCACTGGTGAATGTGTTTCCTCACTATCACTACTCGAATGAACGTCAATCGCAATAAAATCACAATCCACATCACTATCATTATCATTACTGAAGTCAGAGGCCTGGCCACGCGAAAATATTAGTTTTCTCTTGCGTCGAGGTACAACCGACCGTGAGTCACGAGTGCCCACACCAGAGGTAGAAGGTTGAGGATCGTCAGGGTTTTCTGCACTATTATCGATATCCTGGTCATTCCTTTCTGTCGCTAACTGATCAAAGCAATAGAATTTGTCTTCATTTCCACTTCCATCAGTGTCAGAACTATCAGATAGGAAGAGTAGAGTCCCAATTTTCCGTGGAGTGAGAGCTGACTTGCGACGAGGCATGGTGAACAAGGGTAACTGAGCCGGCGTTCCCACAATGCTATGCGGGCGCCTAGATTTTTTGTTTATGGTGCACACCCACCACGCAGACCCGTTCTCTCACATGTAGGCCTATGAGCGCTTTCGTGCTAAATTTGATGGCGCTAGAATTTTGGCGTAGATCTACGGTTTGGACACTCAACGTGAAGCCGTAGATCTACGGGATGGACCCTGAAAGGGTTAAACCCCATTACTCAATCAAAATTTTACACCAACAATTATATACAGTGGACCCCCGGTTTACAATATTATTTCATTCCAGAAATATGCTCAGGTGCCAGTACTGACCGAAATTGTTCCCATAAGGAATACTGTGAATTAGATTAGTCCATTTCAGACCCCCAAACACACACATACAAACACACTTACATAAATACACTTACATAATTGGTTGCATTGGGAGCTGATCGTAAAGCGGGGGTTCACTGTATAAGACATTTACTACCTCATGAATTTTACCTTAATATTAACTGGAACTTCTTGGCCAGTCTTCTGGAATGCCTCAACTGCATGTATCCATCCAATAACTGGACCCTTATCATCAGTGGAACCACGACCATATAATTTTCCATCTTTCTCAGTCAAGACGAAAGGCTCAGTGTCCCAACCATCTTCCTAAAGAAGAAAGAAAAATAATGTGTAATTACTGTACTATACAACCATATGAATTATGTGCTCCTTTCTATATTATATAGTTACTGTCACTGAAGAATAGGCAAAGAAAATTAAACAGACTGTAGTAAGTCACAAATTATATTAATAAAAAGTGATTAATAAAGTGGACTTGTCTAGCAGTCTGCACAAGTCATGCTTTGGCTGTAAAATAAAAAATCCACAAATTAGGAAAGTTATATTAAGAGGAAAATTTGGGTCATGTTCCACTTGCAGCTATGACATTACCTCTGACAACGATCCCCATGACTGAGAAGCTTCTGCTCAGTAGATACTGCTTGTTCATCTAAAAATATAACTCGTGCATAGCAATTGTTATAAAAACAGTTATAAATAATTTTTTCTTTTAGCAAATATTTGGTATAGTAAAATAATGGAAAATAGGTAGAGTACACATTAGTATAAAGAATCACTACCAAATGTAGATACAGACAATAAGCTGAATCAAATATCCGCTTTTATTATTAAAAAAAAAAAAAAAAAAATAGTACTGTACAAGAAGAAATTTAGCAAAAAACTCCCATAACAAATATACAAAACCAAGCTGATGAATAAGAAACACATGAAACACCTGGGTAGCTTTAGGTCTCTTTATTGACCATAGAAAATTTTTTGTTACAGTGGACCACAGCTTCCTGCACCTCAACCTTAAACATTATGGTAGCAGAGGTCATACACCTTCATATATAAAGTCCTACTTTACCAACAGACATCAATATGTCTGTATCAAGGGAACAACAAGAAGACAGGACAATGCCCTCAGCATTCTGCCTTCCCTCATATCCATCAATGAACTTTCAATAAATAACAAAAAGGCACAATACCATGACTGGAACAATACGCAAATAACCCGCACATAGGAGAGAGGAGCTTACAATGACATTTCGGTACGACTTGGACCATTACAAAGTCACACTAACAGAAACGAGAGAAAAGGGCAGTGTATATAGGCCAGAAGACGGATGGGACAAGAGAGGTAGTAGGAAAGGAAGTAGAGAGGTAGTTGAAGTAACAGTGGAGTCAAAAACCAAGAAAGAGGAGCACTGCAGGAGAGCTAGGGGCCCCACTAAGGGTAGGAGCAAAAACACAGGGGATTAAAAGGAATACAAAGAACCAAACACCCAAGGCAGAAGAAAAAACAAAAGCCCAAAGAAGGAGAAAAGGGAAAGGGGAAGAGAGAAGGAGAAAAAAGAATCAGGTTAAGTCACAGGTGCTCTGAAGTTTGGAACATTTTGCAAAGTAATGGGAAAGGAAGGCATCTAGAGACACAGCCAGTACCAAGATTTATAAAAGGAAAGTTGTGTATAAGGGAGGATTCAACCAGACGGCGACTGTGAATGTTAGAAGTAGGGTAGACAGTTTTAGCAGAAGACCAGTCAATAGGATGACTGTGGTCTCTGATATGACAGAAAAGAGTACTGTTGGTGTTGGCATGCCTAACATTACTTTTGTGCTCCTTGAGCCTGTCAGAAAGAGAATGGCCACTTACTCCAAAGTACTGAAGAGGACAAGAGGAACAGGAAATAGAGTAGACACCAGGAGAATCTATAGAGGAAGGAGACGTACGAACTAGATTGGTGCAGAGTGTTAGTCTGGCGAAAAGCAAGTATGATGTCTAAGGAACGGAGAGAGTTAGATTTTTTTTTAAGATTTTACCACCAAAGTGGCTAGTTTATTGTGCACCCCATATCCATCCTGTGGATGGTAGCACAAGAGCATATGGATACACAAAAGGGCCTAGGAACTAGGCCCCAAAAGAATTAGATTCCCATTCAGCTTTAAACTTAATAGAAGGAGCAAGCTTGTTAAGGACATTGAGAAATGGTTGGAAGAGATTAGAGTCATGAGGCCAAAGAGCAAAGATCTCGTCTACATAGCAGAGCCTGAGTGTAGGGCACACACCAATGGTAAGAACAGCAGCTTCGAAGTATTCCATATAAAGATTAGCAAGAACAGGAGATAGATGAGAGTCCATAGCTTTCCTCCACCTCCTAAGTAGGCTCCTAGTTCTTCTGCAGTGCTCCTCTTTCTTGGTCTTTGACTGACTCCACACTATTACTACTACCTCTCTACTTCCTTCCCTACTACCTCTCTTGTCCTGTCCCTGTCTGCTGGCCTATATATACTGCTCCCTTCTCTCCTTTCTGTTAGTGTGACTTCGTAATGGTCCAAGTTGGACAGTCGTCATAAGCTCCTCTCTCCTGTGTGCAGGTTATTTGTGTAGTGATCTTTCAAATATATCTCATCAACTTAGACCTGCTCTCTTTGTGGCTGACAAATTTTGTCA